TGCCTCTAAATAGGTGCCAAACTATGTCCCCTAATAGCAAGAATTAAGTAGTTGCATAAATGCTAAGTGTCTTTAAAAAAAAAAAGCAATAGCTAACATTTTGGTATATGCATGTATATTTATTTATTTGCATTCTGATAGAACTCTCTGTCATAAGATCTCAAAGGGTTTTAAATGGAATTAGTTATATTCACAGCATCATTTTGGCATTGTGCCCATAATGAGTTCACTGATGGATGAAGAGCTTAATTTTATTGTGTTGGGTCACATAATAAGTAGTTTCAGAGAGAGATGGAATGATAATAAATACATATAACAAACAATTCAGTGGTAGCGGTTGATAGAACTAGTGAAGGAAAGGACTCAGATTAGCTAAGTGGAAGTAAACACTGGGAATTCTACAAGCTTTCATCTCTGAGAAAATGAGGTTTTTGTGTAGGTGTTTTTCTGTGTAAGAACAGTAAATGTACGAGGAGACTTGCCTACCCCAGTTTGCAAGAGAAAGCTGTGTTGAAAAATAGTAACCAAAAATAGCACTTTTTTTTTTTTTTTTGAAAATGTTAGATAACTCTATTACCAGTCCTGTTATTACTTTTATGGAAGACAGAGCTGCTGCTGCACAGCTTGGAAAGCCTGGCAGCTGAGCGAGGGGTAAGTTTGTTTCTGTGAGCCAGGCTGTGCCGTCCGTGCACTTTCGTTCCAAATGTGGCTGGATTACACCTCGCTTGGAAGTATTTAAGAGAAGCCGTTGTAGGTAGACTGCTTTGGTAGCTTTGCTGAAGGTGTTGAATACCTTCCCTAGCAATTGTTGTTCACTGTTTTCAGGGAAACAGTATACTCCTAGGAGCAGATTTTGCACTGTGCTTGTGTCTGCTGAATTATCTTGAAACAGCAGTAAATCAAGCTCCTTTTCAAAGCCAGAATTACTGTCTGCAGTAAATCAAGCTCCTTTTCAAAGCCAATTTTTCTAAACGTGCACTCCCCATTCCTTATGCATGCCAGGCTCTGGCATGGCAGGGACCAGAACACACACAGTGACACTCCTCCAGGCCATAATCCTGTCCTACTGGAAGATCCTTTCTGGATGAGCTTGGGTCTGGGTGCTCTGTTCTACAGAGCCGGGTGTCCCCTGGCTTTTTTATCGAACGCTCTGACATTCACGTTTTGAATGATGTTTTTGTATACAGTAATCCATCACCAAATCATCAGTTCTCTGAAGGTTTGGAATTACCCAGTTTCATAATTTCTGCAATATGCTTCATTCTGAGTTACCTGGAGATATTTACAACCATTTGGTGGCTCATCCTCTTCTGTAGTATTTTATGCATGAACCTTTTAGTGTCTTGGCCCTCTGTAGGTATAAAGAATATGAAAGGAACCAAAAAAGGAGGCATAAATCAGGCTTTTAAGAATCATTAGATTAAGACAGAAAGGTTTATACTTGCTCTTATGTGAGCTTTTGCTTATCTTTATTGATTGTTTGAAACTATAGTGCACAATCACGTGTGAAATTTCTGTTTATGTTCCAGTGAACGGGCAGAGATGGGGAAAAGTGTCACATGCTGCTGGCAGAACGTGCCAGCCTGCGCCCTGACCACGCTCCCAGCATCCCAGCAGTGTTAAACCACAGATTAGGCTCCCTGTGGAAAGGAAGGACAGGAAAGAGAAGAACAACTTGGGTTACCCTGTGGAGAAGATCCGGAGCTCATGCTCCATGGCAGGATGTACCTGGGGTCACACGTGAACTTAGGAACTTGTCAGCACCCTCCCGTCTAGAGGTCACTGCTCCTACCTTCTCACAGTTAGAGAATTTTCCTTTTTGCTGTTTAATTTCCACAGCAGTGCCCTTCTTTATTCTCCCTCCTATTCACTGCTGTGCCCTCCCTTTATTTTCACCTTCTCATTTTTCTTTGGCTCTTTCTCACAAATATACATTTTAATGCTTCCAAACTTAAACATATCCAAGTCTTCCACCCTGAACTGTTGTGCTGTAGCATTTCTATTATGTGTGATCCAAAAATATGAATGCTACTACATAGCTTAGTCTTGAGTTTTTCTTCAGAAAGTTGGAAAGTTTATTCCTGCCTGGGGTTTTACTGACAGAAATTCAACATGCAAAAAGGCCAATACAATCATTGTGGATTCGCTGTGGTTACCACATTTTTCTATCATCTGCCCTTTTTAATATCTGTAGCATCTGTGGCTCCAAGTGGAGCTGTGATTCCACTGCTTCCCAGTCTAATTCCCCTATCTGGTATAACATGTTCTGTCACCTTGTTGGGCCGAATAAGGTAGGGAAGTATCCTGAACCAAATGGGGAAAAGGCAACTCATGAAGTTAGTGATAATATTCCTGTGGTTCCAACACCAATCACTTCTTATTCATAGATTCAGAGCTTTCTTTTGGACTTGGATCATATGTATTTCAGCAGAAGAGGAAATAAGTGGGTCATCTTGCATAGCATCCACAACCAGGCCCAATAAAGTGCTACTAGTTTTACTTCTGTAGAAGGTGTGTTTTGATCCGAGCTTACTCTGTTTCCTGTGGAATTAGAATAGGAATAAATCTACCGTCAGATTAAAGCCTTTAATGACTGACATTTGGATAGGCAGGTTGGTTTGTCATCTCTATACCTGGAAGGGAAAATCAACACACAGAGATCTAGTGCTAACAAAAAAGTGTGTGTACAGACCGTAAGTATTTCTTGATCATTACATAATCTGTCTTCCTTAAATGCTATTTTCTTGACTCGTTCAGGCTTTTGGAGGTCTCAGATGAGCTACAAGTGAAGGGATTTAACTTCTTTACAGTGGGTCTCAGAATTATGCCTATTCAGCAGCATATAGTAACTGGTTCAACATGAACTGTTTCTTCTATAAACATACAGAAAGCCTGACCCAGACTAAATCAATTTAAGAAGAAAAACATTTAAGCTATGTTTCCTGTTACATGCTTATGGTCGTCTTTGGTTGCTTATGATCTGACTGGATTATTGACCAACTGTTGCAGTCTATGCCACCTGCTGAAAGGTTCAAATGGGATAGTGAAGTTGTTTTCAGAAGGACGAAGCAATTAAATTCATGACTCCTACAGTACCCTTTTGCTGGTAAAACAGTTTTTATGCTGGGGGTAAAGAAGTCATGAATCTTGGCTTAGTCTTTTTCCTGATTTTATTTGCTAGAAGGGTTGGCTTTTCCAGAAGGCAAAAGGTTGCAAAGTTCATACATACCATATATGTTTAAGATTAGGGCAATTCTGTCAATTCTCTTGCTTTTTTAACTTATTCTCATCCTTTCAGGGAATGTATCAGATAAGATGTGGGGTTCATGTAAAGGCCTGTTTGTATATACTTTATTTGGAAAAAGGCTATTTTAATGCTTATATAAAACTGTCAGGATTTTTTTTTTGCAAGCCAAAATCAGTTTAATCAAGGTGTTAATAATTAATCCTGGTATTTTTAGTATGTGTGTGAAATAGATGGTTTTTTAAATGGTACTCTAGAAACAAAAGAAGAAATTTGCCTGGATTTCAGAGATTTACATCTAAGTGAGCAGAGGACATGTTTTGTATGATATACAGGAGACTGCTAATCGCAGGTACCGAATGCAAGTGCAATTTTTATATCAATATGAAAGTGTTAGCCATCATATCCCAAAGGAGCACAAACATTATCCAGTCTTTGAGATTTTCCAAAATGAAATGGATCAAACTAAACAGAGGTCTGATCAAATCTGACATCAGCAATGGAATACACTGGCTGACCTCGTAGTGCTGTTCTTAATGTAGCTCACTCGGGTCTAAGCAGTAGCTCTGTGTATTTGCTGCACCTGTATGTGTCTGCCAAAGAGTGATTTCATTTTTAGTTAAATAAGTAAATTTAGTCATTATGTGAGAAGAGTGAAACCCCAGTAAGGAGTTTCAGGATGCCACACACGCATCTTGCACATCAGTGCACCAAGACATGGTTATGCCTAAGGAACATAGGACTAGGTGCAGCTTACTGCAAGTTACTGAGCTGCTCTTGAAAGAGTGAGTGAAAAATGCACTTTACTGTGAAGCAGAGGAGAAAAGATTGCATTAGACAGGTGAAAAAAAATATCATGGTCTGCATATTTGATACACTTAAGCACATTTCATAAAATATGTTATTTGATCCATTAGTTTTAATAATAGATACCAAATAGATACTCTAATATCTACTTGCATTAGACGAAGCAAGTAAGTAGATTATCAAGGGACAGTGGGTTCCACAATAATCTACAGAAATAAACCCAAAAACCTACATATGTATTGATGAAAGAATAATAGAAAGGATAATAAAAAAGGAACAGTTGTTGTGGTTAGACCGCTCTCTGCAGAAAGTTGACAAAAAATCCTGAGTTTTAGGAAACCACATTTAATTTTGAAATACCACTATTAACGTAACAGGCTTTTACTGCATTTCTGCTAAGCATTTAAGCAACTTGTAGGGCCACTGAGCGCTCCCATCACACTGCATCAACATCAACACCGATATACTTGATTAAAACCACTTATTTTCCTGCTATTTGCCTGACCCTGTGGGTTGCTCTGATTGTTTAATTGATTAATTAATGACATGACCGGAATAGTTGAAAATTATCTCCCCTTGAGTTTGTTCATAGTGCTGGTGTGCAGCTGCCGTGTGGAGGACGGGCATCCCTCGTCCCTGCAGCAGGTGCAGGAGTTGGGCCTTCCTCTCCTACCAGCTTGGGTGCATCGGGCTCAATTTTGAAGTATTTTTGTTCTCCTGTCTCATTGGAACACACGGGAACAAGACATCTGGACATAGAATACTACTTGTATATAATCAGGAATGGCGAAATTGATCCCTCAGTTTTCTCTGTGGCAAAATTCACTTAATAGACAAATTGCCTGTCAGATTTGCCTTTCTTTGCTCTTTGCAGTGGTATTGCACACAGCCGACCGTGTGCAATACAGTTTGTTCTAAACTGCCTTTTTTCTTTTTTTGGTCACAACAGAAGAGCACTGAATTTAGGGATACTTCGAGACCCTGGATCAGAGGTTGAAGACAGACAATATCAAATAGACCTCCAGTCTATAAACATTGGTACAGCTCATTGGAATCAGTTGAAACCGGAGAAGGAAAATGCAAAAGGAGGAGTGCTAACGGAGAGCGAAAGAAATTCTCAAAATCCAGCGCTTGAATGGAACATGGCCAGTAGGTAGGAACTTTTTTAACCTATTCTCTTCTAGAATTGAACAGGGCAAACACTGCAGATATCATTTGCAGTATATCTGAATCAAATAATTCTGTATCATTTTTACATTGCAAGCACATTTCTGCAGAGTTTTGGGTTTGAAATCCTTATTACTATTGTTGTTATGCTGTAATTGCTGTAGAGTTATTATGTGTGTCTGCTCTTTTCTGAGTGGCTTGCTGAATGTCCATAAAAATAACTGCAGGGTTGAGACTTGACATTCATCTTCTCAGTCTGCAAGCAATGGGAGTTTTTGCTTTGCTTCACGTTGCTTTTGTTTTGTTTTGTTTTTAACTTCCTTTGTTTGTATTTTTACGAAGTTTGAATAAAACCAGCTTAGACATTTCTAAGTTAGAGGAGGATGAAGTAGAACATTTTTTATTGGTTCTGAACTGGTTTTTGCACTTCTGTAACTAAAAACAGATGAATTTTTTAAATGATACATTTCAACCAAGTCTTCTTTATAGTATCCTGTAAGATACACAGACCAAAGACCCTTCTAGTTGAACAGAATTGAAAGAAAAAGCTTTGCTTTTTATTTAAAATTTTAAATTATAAAACAGTAATAAACATTTTTATTAATTTGAGAAGTTTTCATTCCAGTTTTAGATGCTTCTAGATACTTTTAAAAAATCACACAGGTGTTTTAAAACTTAGTTTTTATCAACTCTATAGCAGTCAAAGAGTTTTCTTTTATGACTGATGGGGAATAAGGCTTGATGCCCAAGAGCAGGAACATTTTGAGGATTTGGAAGCAGTTCTGCTAGCAGTTCTTCCTCTGCCTTTTTAAAAAAAAAAAAATCAATTTAAGTTCCTCGTATTTAACTTATGCAAAAACACTCCAATTTATATGGAACTGTATACACAATTTTATGGGTCTCTAGATAAAGATTCTTAGCTGAATAGTGGGACAAATTCCTAGATATTGTATGCAAAAGCAGGAGAAACCAAAAGAAAGAGAAAAATGTATAATTGCTGCTGTAGTTTTCAAAAAGAGGGGCGCTTTTTCCTCACCTGAGGAATCTGAGGGATGTTCCTCAGACTGCAAGCTATGGCAAAAGAAGCCCTACGGAGCTGGCCTGCAGATTGCAGTGCATAAGTGATGAATTGATGATGGTTGATTATCATCCGATGGTAAAGCAGGAGTGAGGGACTGCAGTGAAAGTAAAACTTCAGTTAAATGCAGTGGTAGTAGCTGCCCTTCATTTATGAGATCCCCTGGTTCTCTCCCATCATCTAACATTTGTTTCTTTGTTTATTTATTTATTTTACTAATCCATGAAGGATTTTTATTGCTCTCAAAAGAATGTTTGTAACCTAGTTGGGTCTAGATGCTGGGGAAGTTGTCCTTGAAGTTCTGTCCCTCATAGGGCACCTGGCACTTCTAGAAGGATGAGGTGACATTCAGCTCCACGAGGGTTTTGGCCAATTTGCAAGTTAAGCTAATGCTAGAAAACCAGCACTGAGGAACTGGCTTCTCTTCCCCTTCCAGTTGGTGTCTGCAGTCACTGTCATCAGCAGGCTTTGTTTTGAGCTTTATGGTTTTAGATTTTGATAGAAAATCTGGTGAGATTTCTAAAAAGCCATTAACATAAGAATTAAGAATAAGAGAAGTAGCTGTTACAAGAAATCAGATGTTGCGTTTCTTATTTTTTCCCACAGAGTTCCAGTATAATTTTATTAGAATATATTTGTCTGATGAATGTGTTTTGAAATTGCTTTTGAGTGAGTATTCTGTTTGCTTTTTAATTTACATCAGGAGGGATAAGCTCTCATTAGTGATCCACAGCAATACGCAATTTTGTACTTTAAATTGTTAAAGGAGAATGCTGCTGTAGCCTTTTCTTGTCACTGTGGTTTCACATCTTATGCCTTCACCGTAATGCATTTTCAGGGCCTTTTTGCTTTCTGGCTGGTGTTGCTGCTTGTGGATCATTCTCAGGCCATGGCGGTGCCACCTGGGCGGCTGCACGGGGCTCCCCGCGCTGCTCCGGGTTTGCAGGGTGACACTTGCCTTAAGATTTACTGAAACTACCACGGAAGCTACCACGGAAGCTTTAATCTTTGACCTAATTGTGGTACCGTTTTCTTTTTTAATTCTCCAAGTTTCATTGATATGTTTAACCTGGAACATAATGAAAGATTTTTATTGAGTTATTTTAGGGTTAGGTTCATTGTTTGGTTTGAATATACTTCTATTTGTTTTTACTTAGCATTTAGACCCAGTGTTATGGTTTATTAGGTTAACTGGGCTATAAGATTTTTTTTTCCAGATTCATTTCTGTCTCTTTTACTGAGTTTTTTAAATGCTTGGTTGATGTGTGACGCAGTTTATAGTCCACATCAACTATATCCGTGTATTTCACACAGAGTAACTTTACAGAGTAAAAAATATATCTTCAGCAAACATAGCAGCCTTTCATTTTCCATTCCCATTTCTAAAAGTATTACTGTAAATATTTTTTTCTGAAATAAATAATTATAAAAATTCTAAAATAGATTATATTGTAATTTAGTCTTCTGGGCTGAAACCTGTTCTTGATTTAAAAATTTGAATCAAAATCAAATCATTCTAAATATAAAATGTATGGATATAGTGCAAATAAACATTTGAGAGCTTTTGACGTCATTTATCATTTAAATGCTATAATGTTTATACAAAAAGTTAATCCTTCAAATTTTCCCACCCCTTTTTGGGGAATTCAGTATTTCTAGTGTTTTGCATCTCATGATGGTGATTTTTTATTCTAACTTTTGCATCTTACTTTGGAATAAATAAAAAAAAAAAAGAGAGAGATGTCTTTGAGCCTGACCGTGTTGCACATTTCAAGCTGTTTGGTGCAAATTCCTCCCTAGTGGCAGTTTGGAGGTGCTGGTGCAAAAGCCCCGGTGTCACCGGAGGTCCCTGCGAGAAGGACAGGGGAGCTGGAGCACCAAGGTGGGGTGGGTGCCCTCGCTCCCAAATAACAGCACGGGATTTGGACAGGATCAGGGATCATAACTCTTCCCATTATGAAATGTTTATTCTTCACTGCAGAAGTTATAAAAAGCTCCCTAATGGTGTAATATATAAAAAGAAAACTGGAAACACTCAGACAGTTCTAATAAGGTTATGTACAAATGAAACCTGTCCACATTTATGCCCTTTACCAAACAGCATGTGGGGAACTGGGAGTACTTAACCAAAAGAAGTTTTCTTGATTGAAAACTGCTTTTGCAGCTTGCACATTGCCTCCTCCCTCTCCCTCTTCTCAATGGAAAAAACAACAGCCCTGAAGGAAATAAAGAAATATATCCTCTCCAGAGGCCTCGCCCCCGTCCCTGCGCAGCCCTTCTGCAGCTCCAGCAGCAACTTCTGCTTCCTGCAGTCTGAATAAACTCTGTTTAAAAAAAATAATAATAATTGAGGTTAAAAGCATTACTCCTCTGTGTGGTAATGAATTGAGTGTGGCAATATAGTGCATTACAGTTTTGTCCTTGGCATGCCACCATCTGGAACAGCTCTCCGTGACTCTCATTGAGGATGTCAGGGAGCCGACGCTCTGCCGTACGGAACGGAGCGAAACAAACACCCCTCCTGCATGCAGGCATCTCCCGAAAGGCTCCCTGCAGGCTTTTCATTGAGCAGTTTTAATTTTCATGCTTTTCTCAACAGTTGAAGCACAGCTTGCACATATATGAATACATGTG